GAAAAAAAAAAAAAAAAATAGAGCAGTGATGGTGAACCTTGTGGAGTGTTCAGTTTAATTAGTTTAACAATAACCCACAACCTTTGGACCAACTCTGTTGAGTGTTCAGTGATAACAAACAGCCCGCTGTGGCACATGTACCATAGGTTTGCCCCACTGGACTTGATTCCACCTTATCCCACAGCCACATGGTAGGAACACTGAGAGGCTGTGGGTGAGACAGAAGCCTCGCAGATGGATGAGACCAAGACCTCACAAATGGCTCACCATGCAGGTGAAGACCATCACTCACCCAGCCAGGAACGCCTGGGAAGCATGCAGATGTAAGACTCTGAAATTACAATACTGAGAGGAACTCAGCCCAATTATGTTAGTCTGTGTTTCTCTTTGGTGAGCAGACATTTGTTGTGGCCTCTCAAACTTTAATCCATGCTCAAAAACAAGAGAAAGAGAACTCAGACATGCTTTCTTTCTCTGTCTCTGTGTCTGTCCCCTCCACCCGAGTCAGGTCTTGCTATGTAGTTCAGGCCAACCTCAAATTCACTATGTAGTCCAGGCTGGCTTCAAATTTGAGGTGATCTTCCTGCCACAGCTTCCCAAGGGCTGGGATGCATGTGTGCACTACCCCGCCCGGCTACACTAAGATTTCTAAAGCTAGAAATAAATGGCTGGTGACAGCCATTAGTTTCAAATAAAAGATTCGGCCCAGCTTTACCATGTCCATCACTCATTTCTGCTGTACTGACATGTTATACCCGTATCAAACCAGACATTAGCTGATTTCTCAACACTTCTATAAAGTTCTCATAACATATCTATATTATATAAAGAAATTCTCCATTTTTCTAAGAGGGGGAAAAAGGCAGGAAGAAATGAAGAAACTGCCTAGGAAACTGTTGAAGTGGCAGAGCTGGACCAACTCTACGTCTTCAAACTAGAATATGGTGCAATTCCACTTTCCTATCAGATGAAAACCCAAGTTTTTATTCTCACACTTGCAAACAGCCACACATACTCATGCATATGTCCTAACGTAAGAAACACTATAAAGTACAGAAGTCAGGCTTTATAATTTTTCACATCCTTAATTACAAAGAGCAGAGCAATTTCACTGTTTCTGGCAAGTGCCACCATAACTTCCTGTGACTCAAAGAATCAAAATACCCAATTTGAACTCTCACTTTTTCCTGGCTCAGACTGCCAGGTCCCTTATTATAACAATATCAATAATGAAAGGAGAGGGCAGCAACACTAAAGTGAATGTATTCATTTTTCATAGACTTCAGCTGCTCATAGCCACTCCGTGGGACCCCAGGACTGGCCTCTGATCACACTCTAAGGCTGTGATCCCCTGCTCGTTATAACTCTTCAAAAACTCTTTATACTTAAGTTTTTAACATGCATGCAAATATACACTTAGAAGAATTTAACAACTTAAAGAGCTAGCTAGAGGGGGAAGAAAAACCCAAACAAACAGCTAGCTAGGCATCACTAAAAATTAACTAAGGCCAAGTATTAGTGGAACATGCCTTTAATTATAGCACCAAGTCTGGGAAGCTGAAGCAGGACAACCATAAGTTTGAATGCTGCCTGGGTAACTTAACATGACACTGTCTCAAAAAAATAAAAAGAGGGCTGGGAATTTAGCTCAGTGGTTCCAGCACCTGCCTTACAAGTACAAGGGCCTAAGTTCGATCCCTGGTACCGATAGATAGATAGATAGATAGATAGACAGACAGACAGACAGACAAGACAGACAGACAGACAGACAGACAGACAGACAGCCAAGCATGTAGCTCAGTGGTAGAGTATACTTGACCACATGCATAAGCCCCTAGGTTAAAAAAAATTAAGATTTTACTTGATACACACTTTTCTCTTTTTTCCCTTTCTCTATTTTCAATGTTTCATATTTGAAATATAAATTTGAGCCAGGTGTGGTGGCGCACACTTGAATCCCAGCCCTGGGGAGGCAGAAGCAAGAGGGTTATGTGTTCGAGGCCAGCCTTAACTACACAGCAAGACCCTGGCTGAAAAAGAAATATGCATTTGAAAAAGTCCCCAGATGTTTTAATTAAGCTAAAATAGAGATAATTAATCAGATGGACATTTAAAAGCCCTGGGTGGGATGGCACTCAGTGGTAGTGCTAGTGCTCATGCCCACTGTGCCCGAGTCTCTGGGTTCGACCCCAGCACTGTAAGAGAAGGGGGAAAACTTGAATGAATAATAAAATATACAAGAATCACTTTAGGAAAACTCATGACCATAAAGGTATTAATTCTCCTACAAACTAACCCTAAAATTTCAGAAAGCCTTTCCATGGGACTTGGCATGCTCACATATTTGTGACTAAGAATGAAAGACATGAGGTGCTCAAGGGACTGGGCAGCAGGTGAGCTCCCCAGAGGCTGAACGCAGCACTCCAGTTGCAGACGTATGTGCAACCCTGAAGCAGGGCACAAGCGCCAGCAAGCACAGTGCAGATGAGCCCCTCACAGGCTGGCCGGACACCAGCACAGCCTGCCAGTTTCGTGGGGAAGTGGAGCAGACTCCACTCTCAAACACAAACAAATCAGTGCCTCTGCTCCACATCACACACTGAAAACCAAACATCTTTATTCTCTCAAGGAAGGGAGGGAAAAATTTAATGACTTTTTAAAAATTAAAAATACAGACACCACGAAGAAAAAGAAAATATACTCCCCTTTCCCAGCAAAACACCCCAAACAGTGCAGTATATATAAAGTTTAAATTCTCGCATGCTAAATAGAAAGAAACAGCTATAACATGCAAAACCAAAGATTACAAGCCCTGCAAATCAAGAAGAGAAAGACTAAGCCAAATGATTTAGCATCACAGACATGAGATACAGACCAAGTAATTCACAGCGGAGAGAACTTGTAGGGTCAACAGATGTGAAAACAATGAAATAGTGCCCAACTGTTTGTAATATGGGAAATGTGTAAACAATGGGAATCCACTGATTACACAGGACAATGACAAAAACTCTGGGCTAGCAAAATCTGTTCAAAAATGAGAGGGAGAAAACTCTTCAGTGTGAGAAGCTAGAACAAAGCACATTAAATGCCACATTTTTAAAAAGTTGAACCAAAACCCTAAAGGTTTCTCAATAGGAAAACATGGAAATTGTGGTTCATTTGACAGACAGTACTAAAATCAAAGAGCAAGAACAAATATACAAAGTAGATAATCAGGGAGAATGTAACACTAGCTTAAACCACAAAAAGATGAACACAGTGTATCTATCATTTAGGTGGCATTTTAAAGGCAGAGACACCAGTGGGCGCAGGGACATGCAGTGCAAGGTGAGCACCAGGGCCAGGAGCTGCCCACCAAGCACAGCCCACAGCCCAGTTACACACTGGGAAGAAGGGCAGTGAGGTGGGAGAGGCTGCAATGGAGGCTTCTGCTGTATCTGTGAAGTTTGATTTATTTTTTAAAAGTCTAAAGCAAATACAACAAAGCCTTAATAAAAAGCTAATCTAGCTGATGGGTTCAGGCCATTTCTAGATCAGTTTAAGTATTTTTCTGTATGTCAGAATTCTTCATTAAATGGAAACATAATCGTAAGTAGATCTCATGTATTTACTGAAACAGTTTTGTCTTACCTCAACTGAAGAGCGAGGTGTCACAAAGAACTGATTGAATTCATCAGGGCTAAAATCTCCAAAAATATACTGAAAAAAACAAAAAGAGTCACCCATCACATAAAATATACAAATTATTTACACTCCCCAAAACGCTACAAAGTGTGATGATACTATGAAGCATTTAGGCTGGAAGCCCCAAAATCTTTTTTGATCAAACCCTGAGGGGTTTCAACTGACATTTCTAAGGGTAGTATTTTCCAATTTGGAAAAAAAAAGCCTTTTCCACAAACTGTCACAGATCGAACACTGCAACTTTACAAAGCTTATTTTGAAATATGTCAATTGTTCTAAGTCCTGCTTGCAAGAGAAAGGGACCTGCTTGTGCTGGCCTCCGTGCCCAGTGTGCCCAGTATCGCTACCTCTTCCCTGCCAAACCAACAGACTGAAGGCAGGAAACAAGGCATGAGTGGGAAGACGGAGGACAGTTCATGATTCAGATTAATGATCTTTAAATATATGTGTCATTAAAAAAAAAAAAAAAGAAAAGAAAGAAATCACTATGGGACCAGCCCAGGGCCTCCAGCACACAAGGCAAGCACCTGCTCTACCACTGATCACATCGCCAGCTCTACATGTGCTATTTATTTTCAAAGTGCCTTTAAACCTGATGCACAGACAAACGTGCTGGATCACACAGCCCTGATTTCACAGAATTCTGAATGGGACTCCGGTGAAACTGCAAGGCGGGTCTGGCAAATGCCTATCAGTGCAGAAGCTAGCAGGAGTGGAAAGCCAGCGCTGACGGGGCCGGTGACAATGGACTTACCTGACGACAGTCCCTGCTCAGCCAGCCCCTTGCTCAGATCTGGTCAGAGCCTGCAGGGTGCCGTGCAGGGCAGGGAGGCAGCCTGGACAGGGATATGGCACCCTAAGGTAGCTCCCTCACCCCTATGACTCACAGAGAGGCACAGGCAGGGGCTCAAGGCTGCCTGGTAACTAAGTCTGACTCAGTCCACTTGGGCAGACATTAAGCAAAGGAAGGGCAAAAAGGAAGGTGAAAAGGAAGCAGAAAGCAAGCTGCATGACAGGAGATCTAGAGAATAGCAAAGTATGCAATGAAGGCTACCAAATTTAAAATGCTGAATTTAAAAACTCAAGTTTTACACAGTGAATTCCAGGTCAGTCTCAACTACATAGTGAGGCCCTGTCTCAAAAAACAAACAAACAAACAAACAAAAAATAATAATAATAAATAAAAACTCAAGTTTTAATAGCAGAATCAACCAAGCTATAAAGCAACAGGGCAATCAATATTCTGAAAGTGTAATGAAAATTACTTTATTCCTAGAATTCCAGAGTATTTTTTTTCAAAGTTCTATTCCCAGCTAGATTATTACTCAAATGCAAAAGAAAAACCAACACTATGGTGCTGGGGACGAAGCTGAAGCTCTACAGTAGATACAGCAGGTGTTAGGCGCTGGATTCCATCTCCAGCACCAGAGAGGAAAGGAGCATTCTGACACCACGTGCACCGTTTTCTTGAAAAAGAGCAGCCCTGCTTATAAATCTTAGGAAAAGAATTTAAGAGAAACAAGCATGGAGAACAATGAAGTAAAATCTAAAGTACTCCTAATATCATAGCTGTGAAGTTAAATGTTAAGAACTGCTCATCAGGAATTATATTATTATTTAGCACTAATAGTAAAAATGCTGTATTTAAAGTCATCTATTAACTTCTGAATAACAGAACACTTTTAATTCAGAATGTAGGGGACATACTATATACAGGTGATAGCTGGACATAGTGATGGGGCACAGTGGTACACGCCTGTAATCACAGCACTCGAAAGGCTGAGGCAGGAGGATGACCAAAAGCTCAAGGCCAGCCTGAGACACAGTGAGGCCCTGTCTCCAGACAAATCAAAAATGAAACAAAACAAAACTACATATTTACGTATGTGTGCATGTACACACGCAGGTGACTAGAATGTTCTACAGCTACCTCACTCTTTATCTATAAGGTATTATTTTAAAAAGTCTGCTACAGATTTTAAGTGTTTTATTACAACTTCATATTAATAATCTTCCTAGGGATAGGCACCTTCAATCTGATCACAAAACTCATCAGGAGAAAATGAAAGAGAGATTTACTGGCAGATAGGAGGAAATCAAGATACTGTTAAGGGACCTGTGTAAAAGAAGGGTGGGAAATAATAAGTATTTGTATTTCCATAGAGGCACTTGAAAGATAGGGCCATGCATGTAATCCCAGCCACTCAAGAGACCCAGGCAAGAGGATTCCAAATTCAAAGCCAGCCTGACCAATTTACCAATTTAGCAAGGATTTATCTAAGAATTTTTAAATGGGGGATCCTGGAAAAAAAAAAAAAAAGGTGGGAGCTGAGTGTGGTGTGGCGCACACCTGTAATCCCTGCACTCAGGAGGCTGAGGATCACTTTGAGTTTAAGGCCAGTCTGAACTACACAGTAAGACTGTCTCAAAAAACACAAAAACAGGTGGGGTTGGTGTAGTTCAGTAGTAGCCCACCTGCCTGATATCTGTGAGGCCCTGGGTTCAATCCCAAGCACCACAAAAAGGATTACCTTTTCCTGAGTCTAGAAGTGTTCCCTCTGTAAAGATGTTCATGGCCTCACCTCGCCCTCCTTCTGCACTGTTGTCCTCAGTCACTTAGTCAAAATAAGCTCCCTGCGCAGAGGTCTGGCCTTACTGACCTGACCTCAGCCTCCCACCTGCCACCTGCCGCCCAGGCCACTGTGGTGTACTTCTTGAGCACCCTTTGAGAAATGCTGCCCTCAGGTGCTGTTTTATTTAGCCCAGCTGGTTCTCCTTCCCCGACAAATAGAATCACATCCTCTTGCCCCTCTTAAACCTGTTTCCAATCCCCGAAGCATGCAAGTTTGAAAGTGAGAAGTTTCGTCCCACCCACACCAAACTGCGGCTCTAACTCTGTAAGGGAGGGACTGCTGAGAAGGCACCTGTGAGCAGTCACTGCCCTGAGGAGGAGCTCACGGATTCCTCCCTGTGCATGCTCCCCGCTTGCTCCCTGTATGCTTGGGCCACAGAAACTCTGACATCCAGGGGTTCACTCTCCATGTCAGCAAAGATCAAATCACTGAGATCTCAGCCAGGGGACTCTTAAGAATAAAAGTTTCCTATACCACCTGTAGTGAGTTTTCTAAAGTGACAAATATTTCTTCCTATGCGAAGTAACATACCTCTGGAATGACACAATAAAACATCCCATATAATCCAGAGGTTACAGGACATCATTTTGGAATTTAACAAAGCCCTATGCAGCATTCAGACTACTTCAGACTGCACCAGGACGAGGAAGCATTTATTATCAACACTGCTCCAGACAGGCAAACAGGGATGGTGCTTATAAGATACAGCTCAAACTCGGGAGGGTGGGGGGTGGGTGTGCTTTGCAGATAAAACTACAAAAGCAAAAGTCAACTATTTATTCAAGAACAAATTTCAGTAAGTAGATATAAACTACTCCACCTTGCCATTTTGGTGGTAACTGACAAGAAGTTGAAGCTTTTTTTTTTTTTTTGTACTGGGGATTGAACTTGGGACCTGGCACTTTCAAGGCAGACAGCAGAACCAATGAGTTAAATCCCCATCCAAGCATGTTCTTCCTGCCCATCTTTTTTTTTTTTTTTTTTGTATTGAGGATTGAACTCAGGACCCTGCACTTGGGAGGCAGGTGCAGTGCCTCTGAGCTAAATCCCCGGCCATGAAGCATGTTTTGTGACACTGAAGAGTTTATCAAGAAAATTCAAACCAGCCAACTGTTATTAAAAAGTTCAGCTTGCAGGACATGGCCTATAACCTCAGCACTCAGGAGGCTAAAGCAGGAGGATCATCCCAAATCTGAGACCAGCCTGGGATTATGAGTTCAAGGCAAGATGGGAACACACAATGAGACTTTTCTCAACAAAACAAAACAAAAAAAAAGAGAAAGTTCAGGTTTTACCAACTTCACTAAAAGCTTTCTGTACCTTCAAACCAAAATTATTTAAAAGGTTCTGCAAAAAAAAAAAAGCACTGCAAAAAAAGTATTATTATTTTAGGGGCTAGGGGCGTGGCTCCGTGGTAGAACACTTGTCCAGCATAGAAGAGATCTTCCATTCCCAGCCGCTCCAAAAAGAAAAAAGTGTAGGTGTTTGGCCAAATGAGGACTGTCATAGGGTGAGGTAGGGAAGAGAGCACAAATCTGTGCTCATGAAAAGCCACAGAAAAGCATCGATTACAGAAAACTGAAGTGACACTCAGTCTGCTTCCTGCCTGGATCTGTGCTTCGTGGCGTGGAGGTCTGGGACACCGTAAGGTTCACTGACGAGGTGAATGAAGACAGTGACTGTGGCGGTGGGTATGTAGAGAACACCCCTGTTCTGAGGAGACCCACGTGCCCAGGTTTGGGGGCAAAGGTCATGGAGCACAGAATCCAGTCTCCAATCTCAGGAATCGGGTGAGCCTGTGCCGGTCAGCATGTGTCCACTCTACCAGTGTGCTTGTTTTTTTGTTTGTTTATTTTTGGTACCGGGGATCAAACTCAGGTCCATGAGTTTGCAAAGCAGGCAGTGTAACCACTGAGCTAAATCCCTGGCCCCCTGTGCGCTTGTTTAGAGAACTAAGGGACTAAGTAGATGGGGTGATACCAGACCAATCTGGGTAAGGGCTATTTTTCTTTCTACAGCTTTTGTAAACTTAAAAATTATTTCCAAATAAAGAGAAAAATATTTTCCTTCCTCTGGAGGAAATTTATTTAAAATTTAAATAAATTTAAATTTATGTTAAAGTCTGTAGTCTGTTATTGGGGGTGGGAATATTGTAGGCGCTTGCATTAAATAAAGACAAAAGACTGGTACCAGCCTCACAGGATTTTTAATCTAGTGAGGAAGAAAACACCACTAATCACAAGTTACTTTTGATCTATAGGACAGAGATAAAATATAAAACAGTGAAGTTAGCACAGGGGGCTACAAAGTTCACGCTGGCATTTCCAAAGTTCAGTGCAGGGCCTGGGCCACATATGGTTGCCATAAGAATACAAGAGGCTG